CAGCAGGAACCCTAGTCTTCCAGGTTATATGCAAATGTTAAAAAAAAATCTTAAATAAAAATTAGAAGTTTAATACTGAAGCATAGAGCATTTTGCATGTTTTTATATAGATCTGGCTTATTCTCAAAAATGAGTGGGGCCTCCTAACTGTGCTGTACACATTCCCAGTATTTTAATGGCTTTTGATACAAACAAGCTATCTTCTTTGGGATGGGGAAAGCTTATTCAGCCCTCAAATGAGTAGTGGCTGTTAAAAGATTGGAATATGAAGTGTAATGCAGCATAAATACTTACATTGCAAGAGTAATTGGTGAACTTTGCAAAGTAGTAAAGAATAACATTTTAATGGGAATAATTAAATTGACAGTCATAAAATAGACAATGTAAAAGCTTTGATTAAAATGTAATTAAAATTATGAAAGACTTAATGAAGCGAAACTTGTGGAAGGATCTGTAGGCGCTATAATTACCAGTGCAAAGTCAGTGTAGTGCATTTTTGTGGATCAATGTATTTTAATCTCATGCTTTCTCAATGTGAAGGAAATGTAATGTTGTAACGCACCAATAAAACAACACATGAACGTGGGTTTGTACATCTGTGTGTTATCATTTTTTTGAGAAGAAGAAAAGTTACCAAGTTAGTTGCATTAATAAACCACACGGAGTATTACAAAAAAACAAGCCCTAATGTGACTGCATTATTGATAAACAACAACAGTTCCAAAAGTCATTACTGATACCACTAAAATGGAACAGCCTTCCATTTAACCAAAATGTGCTGTCCAACTTTCATCCAAGGAAATGTACAGTGGAAGTCTGCAAGGTTGAAATTTTGAAATATTCAACCAGCTAAACTGCAACGGGTCCCTTTCATCTGTCAAGTTCCACATCTCAAATAATACTAGCAGTGCCACAATAACAAATGTGATTAGACTAGAAAAGGATAAAAAAATCTAATAGAACATAGCAGAAAGATCCTGAAACCAAGCGAAGCGTGAGATTGTGAAGCAGTCAGCAGACTGTCCCCGTAGTGAATGCATATCTCGGGCAAGGTGGTAGGAGTAGAGCTGGAGCGGTTATGCTGATTCATTCTCAGATTTTGTTGTGTGCAATTTGATCTGATTTCGCCCTCTATTCTTTCCCTGTGCATACAGGGGAAATAGAAATTCTTTCTACTTAATATGAAAAAAGAACCTCATTTTCCTTCTCTCCATAAATAAAATATACTGTACTATGGATTTAAAAAAAAAATTAAAAAGCCTTATTTTTATTTTATAGTACTAAAATTCCATTGACCTAAGTGGAACTGCTCTGGATCACTAAGCACATCGAATCCAGTAGGTGGAATAAAGCCTTCACAGACTTTTTGCTCACACTCTTACATTTCTAGGAGTATAAGTAGCAAAATACTGTAACTCATTTGTCTGCAGTTGTGTTTCCTTGTGATAACATACATCTCTCCTGAGTTAGAAAACTATTGGGTTCCTCTGACCTAACAGAAGGGGGAAAATCTTGAGCGCAGCAGCATCAGGATGATGGGAGTGAAAAGGCTAGACACGTTTCTGTTGCTTTTGATGTTCAGAATGAGTTCAGAATTGCCACAGGCAATAGATAACAATGATTATAAAATTTCTGTGTTACCTGCTCACCAGTGTTACTGCTTACAGTAGTGCTGTGCCGGCTGGGACAAATACAGTACGGGTCCTGTATTGAAGAGTTACTCTATGTTTATATTAATTCACAGAAAGAAAACAGAAATTCTGCTCTTCATTACACCAGTGTAAACACTGCTGTATTGCATGGAGTTACTTCACGATAATACTCTTCTTATCGGAGCAAAATTTGAGATTTTGGTCACTGTCATCTTGCTTCCATCTCTCATCAACCGAAATGTGAAAAGGAGACCCTATAGTTCTTTCCCAGACATATGTGTTGTATTGCAGTAGTCATCCTGTTGTGGGTGTGCTCTAAACAAATAAAGTTTCGGGGCTTGTGTGCCTAAACACTTGCCTCGAGAAGGACGGTCTAGAGATTCACGGTTACCATTTCAACAGGGCAGGAGAAAATCAACCATGCTGAAATATCATTATATCATTGCTTCACCTTCAGGTTCCATCTGTATAATGGAGAATAGAGAGGTTTAAAAGCTGCATGAATGTCTCTTCTTGATCCTATACACCCTCATAACAGGTAATTTCTTTCTTGCAAGCGAAAATGCTAAACACCTGTTACTCTTCTCCAGAATTCTCATTGACCAGAGAGTCTAAGCATCCTGTCCAGATGTTCCATTGTTTTTCTCTAATCTTTTTCTCAATTCTCTTAGAAAGGCAATTATACATATAGGCAGCTGCCTTTATTAGGAACACTTTGAAAAATTCAGACCAGTATAAATGAAATTTTAAAATTAAGCATGTAAATCAAAATTAACCAAATTTGCAAAATTCAGTTTTACGCAGAGAAAGCAAAAGGATCTAATGTTCATCAAATGTTATTTGTACATATGCATTCAGTAGGACTGGTAATCTTTAGGTAATGCTGTAAAATAAAATCCAATGCTGCGCTAATATGCTTTAAGTCCAAAAAGAACAAAACTACATAAATAAACAACAGAATAGCTAGTGGATTAGAAACAATGTAAAGATCAGTTAGAAATAGTTCCGAATTAGTTAATTGAATTAACTCTTTTAAATACAAAAATAAAGCATCTATCAG